TACACGACACGAAGTCGGATATTATAGCTCACGTGCTGAGCCTCCAAATACAGATGGAACAACACTGGAGTACTCGTGATGTTGGCACCCTTCCTGTGGCACCTTTTGGGAAGTTCATGTCGAGAGACTAGGCTCGCGAAATTTCTCGCTTCATTCACTTCGCTGATAACGACAACCTATCTGCCGCAACCGACCTAGCATGGAAGATTCGTTCAGTGTTGGACACGTTGGAGACGACTTTCAAGGAAGGGTATGTGCTAAGATATCGTATCGTAATCGACAAATGATTGTTTACCATCACACAATCGTTGCAACCCGACCAGAACATTTATGAAAGACAAACCACATCGCTGGGGCTCGAAATATGTTATGGTTTGCCGCGCTGAGACTGAATACTGCAAGAGATACGTCTGCTGACAAAGAGTGTATTCTAACATTATATTATGCGAACATGAATGGTTTGATGATATGAGTTGAGCTGGATATCGGCAGATTCGGTGATACCGAATGCTCTCAGTCCATGGAGACTACAAATGGACCGACAGCTGTCATTCGCAATATTGCTTCAGTAATTCGAGGGATACCTTATGAAAGATGTGGGGTTGTTATTGGCAACCGCTATTACACGTCTATCCCACACGCTCAACTACTACGCACCATGGGATTCAATTACGTCGGAACGATAAAAATCGATCGGAATAGGTGGTGTGAGCAGCTAAAATATCCCAAAAAATAGCGGCAGGTGCGTACACCTCGAGGTCCGTTCAGGGGTGGCCATTGTTAAGCTGTATCCAAGGTTCGTCGAAACAATGTGGGCTGACAATACGATAGCGCTACTTCTTGGCTTCACAAGTCGTTGCTGCTTCTGCAAAACAACTGTACGACGGAGATAGCAAAACCGGAGTCACGTGCCATGCCCTGGATTTGTCCACGAGTACCAGCGGTACATGGGTGGTGCCGATCGACATCATCAGTTTCGCCTCCAATCTCACTCACTACAGATGCCTATAAAGCAAAATTGTTATGCTGACAGGGAATGTACATTTTATTAACCTTATCCTGTTCGTGGCTAAAGGTTTAACAAATACTATAAATGATTGTGACTGGGACTAGTGTTATGGCGTTGGGAAACGCTTACATCGTTCACTGAAAACGTTGGGAGAAAAGCCCAAAAAGAACTCGCATTGTGCATTCCTATCCAGTTTACAGGAGCTGCTTCTTTCAGAGACCGAAGCAAGCTTCATCCAATTCCTGACTTCCTTGTGTGGAAATGATGTGACCGAGACGCCGGGTATGGTACCAGATTCGGCACTTTAATTGGGAAATGGCGAGTTTCCGCCAACACCAAGACAGATTCGTGGCAGGGGGTTAGCAGTAGAATAAAGAGCCATACACAATATATATCCGTACTTTCAGCTTGTTCCTCTTGAGCATTGACGGGTCGTTTCCGTATTCGTTAACTTGTGTGTCACCAAGGGTGCAGTCGAGAAGAATGCATAATGGCTATCTGCTATCCCGTGCACGCTCTCTAACTCAACAGTTCAACGATTTCATAAATAGCGACATCTGCCGCATTTGTCATAATACCATGATCTTTTGGCCCAGATGCGCGATACGAAAATATCCTAGTTGGGTGAAATCTCGTGCTAATCTAACAGAATAAACATATCGTCAGTATGGTTTGAACTTAATGTGGCATATTACCGGTGTTTGTGATATGAAACAAATCACACTCAGAAAGCAAAATGACCCGTGACACAAGAGCCAATCTGAAGCAATAGATGAGGACCCCGCTTCAGTAGCGCAGTCGCCGCAGGCTAAGAATTTTCTAAGATGAACACCATGATAACTTGGTGAAGATTTCGCAGAATACTTAGCTCTTCGCATCCAATTTTAAGACACGCGTCTTTACAGCAAATTCCCTTCTTGACATACAACGTGGCTCAATAATCCTTGCTATTGGGACGTCACCCGGGTGTGGATTGAAGGCGACCGGAACCCCAGTGCATCTCGCCATTGCAAAGCAGGTAAGAGGGCTACAAGACGAAGTCACTGATCTACATAATGAAAGTACCATCCTCAAGGCAGATATGGCAAATAACTTGTCAAATACAGTTGCTGTGAAGGTTGTTTCCGAATTATGGCAGCGTTTTGTGGTTAATGGTGTCGCCCCAGTCTCGTTACGCGATCTCGACACATGAATCAGCGATCTTCGGTAGTATAGCTACAGAGTTCCACTGTACTTTGGCCGACATGCAATTGACAAAAAGAACTCCCACCACTAGCTCCTCAAACGACTAGCAACACGAATGGCGGACATGCTCGTGGGATGACGGCAACTCTTTCATGCAGTCCGAAAAGACTGGGAAATCCCAGTTCGAACGAATGTGAAAGCTATTTGAACCCTTTAGCGACCAAGACAGCAAAGTCCGTCCGTACATACTTCTTGAGTAAGAAACACGCCATTCGTCCGGCGAACCAAATGAGACACTCACGTATGAGTATTGTGGTGAACTACTTGTAGCGACTAGCTGAATGGAACAAAGTGTTTCTAGACGGAGTCATCAGAATTAATGAGCTTCCAATCTCTGATGCCGATAAATTATTTGATGACCTTTACTCGATGATGCTGACGCATTTGTATACAGCGAAACCAAACAGAGCTGAGGAACTTTCGTGTGGTACGCTTTATAATCGAATTTGCCGGTGTCGTAGAGTGTACATGAAGTGACAACTACATGTAGTTGTACACGCTCAATAAATGTATCTATGTTTGGTTGACCAATCCCACCGCATAATCACATTGAGATCTGATTCGTAATAAAACGCCGTCATTATATACATTATCTTATACAGTCCCTGACGGTTTAATGCCGTTTCTTAACCTGTCCATGTCACCTCTCCCCGTTCAAGGGGTGAATCTGAGAGTACGTTAAATATAAAATACTAATATTTCTCTTATATCATATACATTCACTATTGTTGTAGTAAAAGTGCAAATGAGGGTAAATATTTGAAAATTATGTAAATATTGAATACAAGTCGAAATAAATGATGCTAATTAATGATCTAGTTCTCTATTGAGTCTTCGTGAAAGTGGCAAGTGCTAATGGTGCGATGATCCAAATCATCAAGTGTCGAATTGTACGTTGCAACAAACTGTGATGCAGTTGGGCGCGAACGGAGCAGTGGGAACGAAACCCGTACAGGGGCGAGTTCCTGCACAGCACGGATGGTGGCAGGAGAAAGGGGAAGGAAGTGCCGATCCTTCCTCTCGGCAATGGGACGGCATGGACGGGAATGCTGCGACCCCCCCGAGTTATGTGGGTTAAGGGTTCGAGCGTTCTCAGAACGCTGGTGTGTATTCGACTCCACCAGTGGTGTGTGAAAGGACTGAAATTGGTTTGTACGCTGCGTACGGACACGAGTGCTCTGTCAATGCTTTGCCGGTAGCGAGTGAGTTATACTCTGAGACCGCCTACCGTGGAGACATTACGTATGGGACTGACTGCCCTACGTATGGGACGGATGTGGAGTTTGACGATGTGTCCTCCGCAAACGTGATGAGCACGGAGCACTAAGTACTGCGGCCCGTGAATGATGTGAACATACAGTACGAGAGTGTTTCCTCGTCTGCGTCGAACTACTCGCCCGTGTACTGTGACACTGGAGTAGTTCCTGACTGTCAAAATAATAGTTGCTGTGGTGAACGAACTACGATGGCAGATACTAGGGGTGCTAAATATGGAGTGCTGAGCGTTATGGAGACTCGTGTCGGGCACGATGTGTCTAATTCCGTAACGACTATAAATGTGGATTTCTCCTCTTAGAGCGTACCGCCTCCTACTGCGGATGCTACCCTAGACCCCTCTGTGGTGGGAGTGGTGCCAATGTTGTCACCTTTGATGTAGTTACTGCCTCTGAACCCATAAGCAACTACGAAGAAAGTGTGAACGCTACCAAATTTATAGTGGCTGACGTCACTGCTGCGACTACTATGACGATCGCTGATGCGATTCCGACGCAAGTTACGATGACGACGGCGTCTAATAAATCGGACTTCAGTGCGGAGTTCGTTGATGCTGTGGATCGACCAGTTGTAGAATCACCTGAATGTGACAACCACGTCGATGTTGGGTGTAATAAAGATGCATGTGTGGGCGTTCAACGGGGAACTCCACCTGGATTCACTGATGGGCTCTCGTTGAGGATATAAGTGTCGTGAGCCACGCGACTGATAGCTCGGGTATTTTAGATATTGTGCTTATTACTGTGTCGTCGGTCGACACCGAATCCGTGGTTGAGGTATTACCGCCTATCGAGGACACTACACCTGAAATTACAACTGATGAAGCGGAGTTGGAGCTTGATTTGATGCTTCGACCCGAGACTACTAGCATCGTCGAACCTCCGTCGGAGGGTTGATGACAAATCAGATACTGCTGGACCGGGCATGTAGTTTGAGTGACAATTAAGTGATGATCCATGCGGAAGTAGTGACTAGTGTTGTGGAAGAAAACGCTAGCCCAAATACGGATTGGTTATTGTTGAGACCCAAGTCGGTTGTACGGATACGCCACTGGAGTCTATTTGTGATGAACAGCTCGAAATAAGCAACTGAAAACAGTCGACTGTGATGAACCACAGTCGCATGGGAGGGTGTTCACTCCGTCGGAGGTGAACCTATTGTGGAAGCGGTTGAGTATTGGACCTGACGACGAAACAGAAGAATATGACAAGGGACTCGAAGAACGGCTATACCCGCTCGACGACGTTGAGTTAATGCGACGAGTGGAACAGAGTGCGAACGCTTAAGTTCGCTAACGCTCGAAGGAAAGTCTACGCTCCTAAATCTTCCCGTTGCCATCTTGGAGAAGAACAGTGAATCTTCTCCTGGCGAATTGTCTACACCGGAATATTAGTTGGTGTGGTATAATCGAAGGCTCGTTGCCGCTGAGGGCGCGAAGCGTGCCAATCGCGATTTCCGAAAAGATCCGTCATCAGTTGGCGTGCGGAATGATCACACATGGCTTTTGGATGTCCGTATATCTCAACATTGGTGTCAAAACAATCTTCCAGTATTTCAAAAGACTCGTGACCCGAGAGAGATCTCGCCCCTGACGTATCCGATGTTCTGAAAGTTCATACAGAACCACTGCCACTACCGGAAAGTCTTCGATAAACTTGTCGTAGTAGGTTAAACGTCCGAGAATCGATAGTACAGTTTTCTGGGATTTGAGAAACGGTAGATTCATAACACCCTTCACAACATTTGGGGTCGCTCGGATACCTACTGCACTAATTTCGTGTGATAGGAAAGGAATTGATCACTTTCCAAACTCGCTCTTCGATTAAGTCACCGATATATTCCAGTAGCGTAAGCAATAGAACAAGGTGTTCAAATCCTTACAAAGTTGAACCCATGTTTTCGCACGATGGACATTAACACCAATGTAGGAACTACGTCCCAGCACCGGGCTAATGTGCGAGGGCATGGGGACATTCCGTTGGAAGCCGGTTATGGCGCCTGTGGGGCGTTTTACCCCATCCTTTGGACGTCCACTTTCAAATTCTTGATTATCTGAAGGGTCCAACCCTAAGAAATCCAAAACATCTTGAACGACTTCTCCCGGAGGCAATCTCACAAATACCCATAGGTTATTGTTGAAGACAGAATAGTAAATCAGAGGCGCGTTCTTGTGTCCAAAAAGCATGCGAGTTCATTGGAAGTACCAAAATGGACAGACAAATGACGATATCAGCTTCGCTCTTTCAGACATCTTGACCACCCATAAGCCACTAGTTATTTTCCAAACGCATAAACTACATGACGCCCTCGAATCCATCCAACAGGTGATCGATCAACTGCAATGGCAATTCGATAGTGTGATGAATCCATTGACAGCTTGGTAGTCGACACAAACCCGAATTTCCACACCATTTTTCTTGAGGATAATCACAATAGGTGTCGCCCATGACGGTCTGAATGCGCACTGAGTCGTGTCGTCAAACCATTTTTCAGAAGTTCTTACACTTTGATCGACAAATGTGGTGCAACAGATCGGGGGCACTGAGCGACCGTTTTCGCATCTCCGACATCCAAATCATAGGTTACACATCTCGCCGGAGCTGGAACCGCCTTCCTATCGCCCAAGAAGATAGCTCGATGGTACTTCAGAATCGCTAGCATTTGCGCTCGTCCTTCGGGGTGCTCGTTCCTGGTTCACGAACGTCAACCAAATCGATATCGCATTTTGGAGATAACTCTTCGATGTCCGGGAGCAACGCGAGTTGTTCACGGGACTGAGATAACGTTTCACTCCCTTCATGTATATAGACGGCGGGTTCGAGATTCAGTTTCGCAACACTTATTCGCATGACACGTTCGTATTCTAGCTCAAGCTGTCAAGCTGTTGAACCGGTGTACAAGCCCTCACTGACAGCGGCAAGTCCGAAAAGACATCGTCCTCCGGTTCCGCTTTTGGAATGTTTCCCAAGGTAACTTTTGGAAAACCCATCGTCAACACTAATCGACTCCAACAATCCATCGTAGTTCGAGTCCTGGTCATCCGACACTTCTTCAGGTTCATTCATAGGAACGTCCATCGGTTCAACTCCAGCTTCCAGAATCTTGGTTGCTTCGGGTATTGTCATAGTTTCTCCAGGTGTCCTTGTAGATAACTCTATATCTACCATAGATTTTCCATCAGACAACTCATAGGAACTACCTGAAGGTTGATCACTCTAGCTTCCTTGCAACCAGCCAATGATCGAATCATCATCTTAGTCGGCCACGGGTAGTTCGGCTCTGGACGGCTGGTGGTTCCATCTTCTGAAGTTCATCTAGATGTTGTACCTCTCGAGCTTGGGCTTTGGCGGATATAGTGTTCTCGTAAATGAGAGTGTAGCATTCCCGATATCTTCGAGTGCTAACACACAGCTCTCGGAAAGAATACATTCTCGACAACATGAGCAACTTCAGTTCGTCATTCCATTGTGACAGTACGGTTGGATATGCTGACTAACTTGATAGCAGCAGGAACCTTCCAAGCGTACAACACCTGGTTGGTCCAACGATCCTGTCGCCCGGTCCAGACAACCGACGGTCGCATTAACGTTCGGAAAGCGCGTAGTCGGATTGTCCAATATTCTCCGGGTTGAAGATACATAGTATACTTAAGACGGATTCCATGAGCCATACCATGCTTGGTGTGAGACAGCCCTCTTCCTGAAAGCAAAACCGTCAAGTCATCTGAAAGTTGTACCAGTCCTTCTTTCACGCATAACCGTACTCCAGCCGAGAACATAAAGTTCACCCCAGCCAAAACATCCAAACCTCCACCAATGTTTGCGACCCAAACAGGAACAATGTACACCACTCTTGATCCCAAAGTGATTTTCACTTCGGTACTTGCAGTAATGCTAGCCGTTACATCTCTGAGTCCTGACGCTGAAATCTGTTTGTCAAACATGAGCATGAGTTTAAGCCTACGCGCTAAGCCTCAGCTCACCATGGTCACTGACGCTCCAGAATCCAAGACTATATACGTCCGAAAAGTATTCACCGCTCCATGCACCAATGCAATTTTACGATTCTCTTCCTGCTCGTGATCATGCTACTACTCATAGCGTTCACATCGTTTCAGACGAAGTTCTGGACGCATAATGACATCCTAATCACCTGAAAGCTTTCGCTCAGAAACATTTGAAAGCAAACTTTCCGCAAGAAGATCTTCATCAAATACATTTATGGATTGGTGATTATCTTGATCTTGTTTTCTCAACTCATTCCTTCATAAGCTAACACACAATTCTGGGGGTCGTCGTGTACTCGATACCCATCCTGCGGGTTTAGTGATTTACGGCTTCGTCCCAGAATCCGCATGTCCAGCCAGAAGTTGGTTGAGAAGGTGCTCAGGAATATCATTCAGGCTTCCTTGCTTGGCGAGATTCTTGACTGCTTGTAGGGTCTTCAATCCATAGCACGCACCGTCATGAAGCTTATAGCAGGACATCCAAGGGCCAACTTTGTCATACTTAGCGGGATGGGCTTTCTTATGGCATCGGTTGCATTCCATATCCGCCCAACAGAATTCCGAAGAATGTGATCCCTAACCACAGTTATCACAATGATGCGTCTGTTGCGGTTTTACAAAGGCTTCTCTTGGTGGTTACCTGTATTCAGAATTCGGAGGTCTCCATCCGGGATTCTTCAAAATCCGATAAACTTCAGCGGTGACATCCTGGTTCCAAAGTATCATACTTCCATGAGGGGTATCGTCAGACAAACCATCAACGTCCCTGTCGGAAATAGATTCTCCGAATGAAAATTTCTGATGACTACCTTCAGTGCCTTGATCAAACCGGGCTTGTTGCTCATCGTCACTCGTAAAGACTTCGTCTCCTTTCACATTGTACGACCGGTTGTTGGTCTTCGGTCGTTATCGATTTCCAAACGGACTGTCAGACTTCCGGTCAAGACCTTTCAGAGAATGCGCTTCTCGATCGTCATTACACCAGATTTCTTCATGCTGCTTCAGGATACGCTCCAAGTCATCCAGACTGCGAATACGCTGACCTTGTAATGTCGATCTCAGTTGCGTATCATACAGCTGCTTGAGGAAAACTTTCCGATATCGGTCGCGCGCAATGTCTGTCGACTTCATGTCCGCTTTGTCAGCAATCTTGTTCAATTTGTAGGGGAAGACTCAAGAGGTTACGTTTTGTTTTGGAAAGTCATGTAGTAGTACTCGGAATCCGGTGTCTTCGTCTTGCAAAACTCCTCTCGGAATGATTTCACAAAGCGTCTCCAACTTTGACGTATATATTCATCCAAATTCCCACACCAATCTCGAACAGCCGACTATAGCTTCAGCTTACAGTAGGAAATCTTTGCATGGTCTGACCACCTTCCCATGACGGCGAAACTTTGGAACTTCTCCAGCCAGTCCGTTTGGATACCAATGGTTGCTTCTCGTCGAAATCTTCTAGCACTGTGATGTGCGCCATCGGATTGAACGAGATCGTCCCTTGCCCAGTCACACGAACCTGCGTCCCAGAAGCGAGATGTAACACTGCCGATGGACGGCATCTGAAGTGGGGCTAGCATTATCACCGTGGACACTGGAAATTCATCGGATCCAGAACGATGCATCCATCCTTTGATCCGGTATCACTCCAAGATAACACTTGGATAAAGTTGCAGAAACTCTGATTCCCGCCAAGGGGCGTCTGGAAGTGATGCCACCAGTGAGTCTGGAAATGTTAGACGCAACCTATCAAGACTACGGTCTGAGTTTCGATGGTGCTGTAGTGGTTTCTACTCGCCGAGGAAGTTGTGAATGTATCTTGTGGAAGTTGCCAGTATGGCAAGTTGTGAAGACAAAAGGACACATCTTAGTATGTGTGACGGCGAACGATCCTGAGTATCATGGTCGAATCCGAGGTTTAAAGCTCGCTTTGAAGTTTAATGCCAAGGAGCTCGTGGCAATTCGGGATTCCAGGATCGTCGTTCAAAAAGCTTAGGGACTAATTAATTGTAATCAGCCTAATTTGATATGAGGATCTCAGGAAGAATGTTGTGCCTGTGAAGTTGATCCATGTCAAACGTGAATTCAACCCAGCAGCCGGTTACTTGACTTCTAAGACCCCCGTGCTTGGGGAATCCTCGAAGATCAATGGCCCAGACGAGATAGTACACCTACGCCTCGTCTCTAGAATTGCTGAAAAGATCCTGAAGCCTTTGGAAATTTATGCTCCCGATAAAATTCGTAAGGACCAAGTTGAACCTGGAGTGAGAAACTCCGAAGTCGGAATACCTGAGTCCTTAGCTACCGCTGCCCAGGTATTGATGATGATGTCAAGTGCTGATTCAGGATCCCGAAATTCGGTAGAACAAGCCAGATACCAGGATGAGCGTTGAAGAATAATAAAGGTTCATCAACACGAGGACGAATGGATCCAGCAATTGAAAAGGATGCCGCGAGCAGATATCACAGGATTCTAGAGGAAACAAGTGAAGGAGTTTGCTAAGATTTCCGATCCATTCGTGTTGGACTTACGAGACGCCCTCTACAGGCTCAGTGCACCTACTCCCGCGAGACCACGCAATAAACAATCGGAACTCAGACTCGTGGTCCCAGAGTCCTTACCTGCAGACATATTGAACTACTCACACGAAGATTTTAAAGGCGGCCATCAAGATATCAACCGAACGTTTGAGCGATTACGGTCGGTGTTCTATTTGTTTGGGATGTATGCCAATGTTCAGAAGTTCGTGATAGCGTGTGTCGATTGCGTCTACACCAAGCAGTGATCACCGGTTGCCGGCCCGTCCACTGGGAATATTCAGCCAAGGTATCCGTTTGAAGTGGTCTCTATAGTTTTGGCACCGCGCAACCAGAGTCTAAGCGTGGCAATACTTATTTGTTGCCGTTCCAGGACCAGTTCTCAGGATATGTCATGTGTAAGCCGATGCGGATCCTGAAGCTCAGGACGTCGATGAGGCTTACGAAGAATGCGTGTTTCGGAGATTTGGGGCGAATTCTCAGGCATACCAGAATCCTTGTTTCATGAGCACGGTGTTTGCGAGATTCAGAAGCCTTCTAAAGAGCAAGCAACGGTCGAGGCTAGGGTACCGACCTCAGTCTAATGGACAGCAGGAACGTTTGGTTCAAACAGTGATGAGAAGTGTCAGAGGGTACGTCGCTGATATCGACTAGAGTGACTGCGACAAACATGTAGACCATCTCATGTCGTGTTGGGAATTCACGAGTGCACCACTCCTGCCACTCACAACAATTATCAGCTCCACAAAAAGCTAACGGCGAGCAGGATCAAAGGACTATACTCGATAGTCCTTGGTTCGATCCCTTCGGGGCTCCACTTGACTCTGCGCTGGTAAGGTGGTAGATCGTGGGTAGACCAAAACTGACGTCCTTGGTACGAGCACACCAAGCCATCTTCTCCTTATCCTTTAACTTGACCCTGCCTGCCCTTCAGTGGTGGAAGGTGCTTGACTTCTCAGCCAGACGCAGGGGTGCCGGGCACTTGCTCCAGCTGTAAGAATTACTAGGAATGTGCTTCCAGTCTTCGACGATGACTCGTCGGCCTTCAACACGACCAAACTCACATCTAGCGCTTGGTCTTGCCACGGATAAACAGGAGTTCTTCAACCGAGTCCACCAACAGACATAAATGCTACACAAAGCGGCCTGGCCCTTTTGGACTTACCAAAATGAAATCTTGACTTTAAGTAGCAAATTCTGCTCTGTTATCCACTCTAGTTCGTGTTAAGACTAGCCCTAACTCCTACTATAGCGTATACAAATATCAAGTATAAATACGACTAAGCTAACGACTCTCCAACGGCTAAGACATCTCGGCCAATCACCCGACGATGACTCGCTTAAGTGCAGATCTCGACTACGGGTCATCTGGAGTGTCGTACACAGCTCCCGATATAGTGACTTGATGGTTGAAGGTCCTTAGAAAGCGACCTACGAGCGTTGGTCACGAGTCGGAGTCCGGTAAAGTCCTGTTGCGTGGCCCACCGTTATTGAACAAGAACTTCCAACGGCGGCTCCCTTACGTCCGTCCCATTCTCCAACTCAGCACTCGTAGCGGCAAGTCGCTTCTGCGAAGAAACCCGACACCACTGCCTCCGCGGCGATACGAGCCACCACTTGGTAAGTGTCGTTGCGCTCATGTCGTCTCCAAATTCCAAGACTGCGTCTCCATCGACAGCGACATCGTCAGCTCCAGCTGCAACTCCGGTACGTACCCACCTCTACCGTATC